ATCGTTGAACATGTGCAACTGCTAATTCGTTTCACGGGTTCCATGATGTTGCAGTGGTCCAATATCAGCGGTGGGGTGCAGGCTACCGCAGTGGAGCGCTTTTCAGATCGAGCGGCAGATTGATCTATCCACAAAGTAAGGAAGATCCAGTTTTAGAGTGACAAGTATGATAAAAATTGATTTCGCTAAGTGAGAGTCTGCCACTTCAGCAAAGTCGCAAATCTCTAAAAATACGACCTTCTTGAACCACCTTAATCGATCAAGCAGCGAATCAGGCCTGTTAATCGCCAAACGGTCGAATCGCTCAAGTTGCAAGTTTGTGCCCGGTCTTGAGCATGAGAGTAGAACACCATCACATCATCGTCAGCACTATCAACTACTATATAAAGATTGTGGTCTAGACCACAATTTTTGTATAATACTTTTCTATATTACTCACGATGTCTCTTTTAGTGGTCCCCATATACACTCTATATCCCGTAGATGGAGTGGGCATGGCTGTGTACATCCTTTGGTCATAGCATAGGATCCGTTCTTCGCAAGATACTTTTCATTTGGGACAACCGACAACAACGACACTGATTACATTTTCCAACCGGCGCACTCTTCCAGAAAAGCAACCATCGCCACTTTCAAATGAATTGTGCAGCCACGCCCACCCCATAACCCGAGAACTGAAGTGTGATCAGTTCATTCATTTTCGATCTTAGCCTTCCTCTTTGGGTGTTTGCGTGTGCAGTTCGTTGTTTACCGTGCTGTGAATGAATTAAAGGTGTACCATTTGTGATCTGGGAAAGCTCCAGAGACCCCATGTGGTGTAAACCGATGCTGAGCTAAGCATGGCTTGGTGAAATGTTCATTATTTTTTCTTTTTACATTTCTTTTGTTTGTTTGTCCTCGTCGATCCTAGTGGTGTCAGCTGTTTTTCATTGATTTTTCTATGATTTCTCCTTTTTTCTTATTCATCTTTGACAGCAAGGTTCTACTGGTAGCCATAAGTGAATGAAACTGGGTGGGGATGGCAAAGATCTGTCTTGAATCAATACGAGAACTCAACAAATGGGGAATCTATGGGCTTCCAGATGTTTGAACTGAAAAACTCAAAATTAGTACCAGTTTCATGTATGGGTTGGCGATCCCGAAGAACGTTGGAGTTAGGCTACCGTCTGGTTGTTCCTATTATACGTCTCATTCACTGATTGTCAGTAAGAACGTCGAGCCTCGAGTACTGTTTCTTTGCAACCGAGCGGATGCTGACAACCGTCCACCAGCTTATTTGTTGAAAAATGTGGCTACAGATCATGACAAGTTGGATCCCACAGGAATACGTAATAAAATACTCAACCGAATTGATCAACCCACGATACAACAGAAGAAACGCTCAATAGAACCATTACAAACGCTGATTGGCTGCAATGATACAGTACTTGCAGTTCGTCCCAGATGGGCGTAAATGGTTCGGCATGAGCATAAGAAGCATAAGAAGATGAAGGTGTTATATCTCATCCTCTGGTAATTAATGTTCTTTCTTCCGATTCAGCAGATTTGTTGCGTCATCTTTTTTTGTGAATTTCAGTGAATAAAGTGTTTCTTCCGAGTCTTCGAATATTGCAGGCAGATATTGCAGGTTGCGAAGAGTTCAAGGAGAGCGAGTGAGGTACGTGGACAGCACGTTAATCAGGACGAGCGGTAAACGGTACAGCACAGAAGACCCCAAAACCGGGCGTTGTGCCGGGGTGAAGTAATATTTAGCTCAGCTGCACCATCTTTGAAAGCAACAGGCACGAGGGAACGATTGCTGGCAAGGCCGCGAGAAGGCGTTAGGGTCCGTATGCTATACCCTCGTCATCCGGGCAGTTGATTAGGGCGGTCGTCAACGGGCCGCAGACGCGGCTGCAGCAGCGACCGCGTGCGTAGGAACTATTTGCTTTTTCCGGCCTAATTTAGTCATTTTTCCCTACTTTTCACTGTTTTTGGCTGCTTTTTCCAAGATTAGCAGTTCCTTGTCTTCACAAGGTAAGATATATTTGGAATTTTATGACATTTGCGAACAGTTAAACGATTAAACAAACAATTAGACAAATGCCCAGAAAAAAAATCGCGAAAAACACACCATTACGAGAGAAAATACAAGAGTTCACAAGTTAATAAACTTCATATAGACAATAAAGTAAATAATCTTAAAAAAAAACAAGAATTAAAGTGAAAATTAGGGAGGAAATTGCTAAATTAGGGTGGAAACAGCTGATCGCCGCGGTCGTGACGCGCTGCAGCCGCGTCGCGACCCCTGGGGTCGGCTGATCAACTGCCCGGATGACGACGATACTTCCCTCTACGGGTAGATACCGCAGGACGTCCCTCAGGAATGCCGTATGCTACACTCGAGGGGGTCCCGAACAGGTGGAGTCTCAGGGTTCGATGGCGCAACTTTGGAAGAAGGGTCGTCCGTATATCCAGCCTTCGGAATCCATAGTTTTCCACTTTGACATTTCCGGAGGATCTTTTACTAGGACTGATGATGATCAAGTGCAATGAATTTTCCTGCTATTATAAAGCCTTTTTAAAGCTGAGCTGAGTATCGCTCAAGGTCAGGAGGTGACCACATTAATCACTAAACATTTTTGATTCATTTGCAAACAGCGTTCCACAAAACAAGTAAGGATTTCGGAGAAAAGGTGGCTGAGCCTTTCTCACCTAGCGCGAGTAACTCCATGTTTTTCATTCTCTTAGTGGTCATGCTCCTGCTACCTACGTTCTCCAAGGTCAGCTCATGTTAAG